TAACATAAAGACAAGTAGTGATTCTACAACATTTTACTATGCTGATGGACAGTGACTGTAATGGGGTTTGTGGGGGGGACTAGTAAACATAATGTTCTTCAAGTAATTGTAGATTAATGATAACAAAATAAAATTTAAAAAAAAACACCCATCTTTATCACAACTCTCCCCAAAGTAAAATGAATCAAAGGCTCCGAATCACTAACTGAAACTTGCTACATACTGTCTAAATTTGATAATGGAAAAATAATAGTAAATGCACATTAAGGACAAGAAAAAACAGCTTTAAAGAATTAGGGTACAGGAACCCACCTAGAGACAATGAAAGGGATAGAGGAAGGGGATTGCTGGGTTTTGTTGTAAGCCTTAGAGAGCTACATATATACATAATAAAAATTAAAATTAAAACAAAGAACTTTCACAGGTGAAAATCAATTCTGACACAATCCACCCTGTCCCCCATGAGACCCCAGCAGGAGCCCAGGACCAGGCTATCTCCTGAATACCCTCCACACCTTCAACAGGGTCCTGCCTGATCTATGCTCCGGCCTTTAAAATGCAAGCCCTGTTGAAGCAAATTTAACCATCCCCCAAATCCCTACCAATGCTTCCATTTTAAAACTATTATGATTGACCCTGGGCCTGCACTGAATGCACTTTCTTTAGAAACTTTTTTATCACATAGTATCTTCCTGTTCTGAGGTACATGTCATATTTGGCTCCAACCAGGTAAAGCCCTTGAGATGAGGGCTCTGCCTAATATTTGTATACCCTAGAAAGCTGGACATGTATAATCTCACAATACATTTTTCTTGCCTAAAACTACTTGCAGTCATTCTTTCGTCCTCCTCAAAAAGAGAATGTAGCCTTCAAAATTTTACTAAAGCCAGCACTTACTTCAAATTGTTGATTCAAAATTTTAATTTTCCTTTAATACTACAGTTGGAAATATCTACTCAAAAGCATTATAAATTATGCTGCTTAATGTAAAGTAAACCGAATAGTTAAAAAAGAAGTCGGTTATTATCTGGGCTGCAATGTTAGAACCAAACTTATTTAGACAAAATAGTGGGGGGAAAAGCTTTATTAAGAAAGTGATATAACTTTACAGACAAACAGGAAAATGAATTAAATCCAAGGGAAGTATTTTTAAAAGCAGGCTGGTATTTCATCATTTATTCTGTATAATGTTGCTCAAGTATTATTAGCAAGCCTGCAAGTCTTAAGCAGAGTAAACAATATCCCTTCTAACCCAAAATGTTTTATATTAAACACCCTTTTCATCTCTCAGATTAGTGACTATTAAACTTGTATCATAAACATCCAGGGAGCTTATAAAAAAAGAAAAAGATGTTGAACAAATATTTGAGTTCCTACTATTTATAACACATTGTTCTAACCCCTGCAGATACAGCAGTGAACAAAACAGGCAAAGAGACTTGCCCTCAAGGAACTTACGTTTGTATGAGTGTACTGGGGTTGGGGTGGGGTGGATTGGGAAAGAAGGTCCAGGAGAAAAGAAACAAGAACATTTATTAGGTACGCAGGTTCATCAGATGGTAACAAATGCTGTGGAGAAAAGTCAGAAAGTGCACCATTGAGTGGAGGTTGTTATTTGAATTAGGATGTTCAGGGAAGGCTTTACTGAGAAGGTAACGTTTCAGTCATTCTAGAATCTTTCTCAGGGGGCCAGTGGGAAGAGGGTGCCAGAGAACAGGTCAGCGAGGAGAAGAGCGTGATGGGGATGGCAATCAGCTCTCATAGAGCCTTATTAAGGACCTTGGATTTTACTCTAGGTGAGACAAAATCCTGGAGAGTTTTAAGTAGTAACATCAGAGTTGGTTTCCCTCAGGCTGCCGTGCTTACGACAGACAGCAGGGAGGCCGTAGTGGAGGCAGTCACCAGGGAGCAGGCTCCTTCAGTGATCCACATGTGAAATGAGGGGGCTCAGTGGAGAGTGACAATAGTAAGAATCCTAGTGTATACAGGGATTCCAGGCATATGCTGAAAACAATTAAGATTTTGCATGGACTTATGGTATGAGTAAGTAACAGTCATAAAAGACTTGGAGGATTTGGCCTGAGTAAATGGAAAAAGTTGTCATTTATTGAAATCAGGAAGTCTACAGAACAGCCCTTGATAGCTGGATATAAAAGCTTACAAGTCAGGAGAAAGGTCTGAGTGGGAGACCTAAAAATTTGGGACTACATATGAAAGTATGGAATGTCATGGAATTGGATGAGATCACAAAGAAAGCTGGTATACAGAGAGAAGAGGTCTGGGGCAGATAGCCACCCCTACCCCAAGATGACTTAGTAATCTAGGTTAGGGCTCAGTCACCTGAATTTTTAACAAGACTCCCAGTGACTGTAGCATACTCTGAAGTTCAAAAAATTCCACTGATAAATGTTAAGATAAACCTCAGACTGAACTACAGAATTTTCGCTTAACTAAGCTTCATGTTATTTACAATTCTATCAGATGAAAGCTACTTTTTTCCTAACAATCCATGAAAATTTTTCATGAAAAACAAGTACCTATCATAAATTAGACCATTAACTCCAAATTCCTTCAATTTCTTTCTGTTTTCAGGATCATTGGTATCATCACCCCAACAAAATATGACTAGTCCCTTAGCTTTTGCCTCTTGAATATAAGATGGATTTCTCAGCAGGTCTTCACTGTGTGCATTTATACCCTAAAAGAAGAAAAATAAGTTACTCAGGAAAGGTTAACTTATTAACTGCAAATATGAAATAGTCATAACTCTAGATCAGTGCTCTCCAAAGGAGAGCAGGCAGGGAAAGAAAATGTTAGAATTTGTTTCTTAAAATTTATTTTATCAAACTAGTTTACAGTCTAATCATTTTAGATGATTCATAAAAGCCATTCAGAAAACTAAGCTACAAAACTTACTTAACAGAGGCCTGCAAGAAAATATTTTATGTTGTTCATTTAATTGCTTCTCATTCAGAGACCTAGTATCTTCATTTTAACCTATGCTTGTGATACATGTAAAACTAGTAATTAGCTGTACAAAGTAATCATGAAATCTTACTACTGCTCTAAAACATTTCTTAAAAAATGCAAACATAACTTACCAGCAAATTTTCAAACTGTGCAAAGCTCATTGCAATGGGGGTTGTTCGAGATCTGAGGTCCATGAGTTCAGGGTAAATATCAGATCTTCCTTGAGTCAAAAATAATATGGGATATTTGTTCTGCTTTTGCCGAACCCTAAAAAAGACCATTTTAAAACTACTCAACAGGGAGGTAATTACAGAAAATACTAAAAATATAAAGAAAGAAAGAAAAGGAGTTAATCCCATCACTAAGATATAACCACCATTAACATGCATTGCACCCTTTAGTCAAAAACAGAAGGATTTTTAATTATTCTATACAAGAGCTAAAATATTCTCAGAAATGGGCAAGATGAAAGCCTTCGAGGGCCTACAATTTTAAGTACAACATTACACACCTGCAAAATGAAACACAGGGCATGAGGTACTGGGACTGAGTGGGCATGGAGCGCATCCCAGCAGGGAGTCCTGAAGGCTGTGAGAATACATGTACCCTGACTGAGAGGACTAATCAAGGGAGAGGTCTGGGCAGCTTCCCCCCCTCCAGCCACAGTTTTGTACCCTAAGCCCCAGCTAGGGTCTAAGAGTACAGGACAAAAAAACTGAGTATTACTCACATGGTGCAAACATCTGCATCAAATGAAGAAAACACTATTCTCCTCTTCCCAGAATGTTCTAAGACAGTTTTTAAAATTATATCCAAAAACAGATTCATGTCAAAGTATGTTGATAAGTTACCATCCCACATTCCATCCTTTGTGGAAGAAATAGGAAAATCAAAGTTATTAAAATACCCTAGAATCAGTGTTGGTCCAACTCTTATTTTAAAGATGAGGAAAGCAAAGGCCTAAAAAGATTAAGTGACTTTCCACACAGCTACCAAGTGATGGCGCAGCTGTCCCAATACACGTAGAGACACTCATATGCAAAGCGATTATACCATCACTAGAATTTTGCTTTAGTAAAATATGGAAATTTGCAATCTATTAAGACTTTACAATATTTTTATATAATTTTCATAAACAATAGGACAAGAAGACTTCATTTGCTAACTCATTAAAAAAAAAACCCTGGCAATTATGAGTTGCCAGTTAAAAATCTCATTCCTCAGGCCTTAGGCATATCAAGTACCCTCAACAGATAATAAAAATAATTCTCTAAATTATAGCTAAGATATCAAGAGCCCTGCTGATATTCAAATGTGTTAAACATTTTAAATACTAGTCATTAAAATAATTCTAGAGAGGAGCCAAGATGGCAGCATGAGTAGGGCAATGGAATTCTCCTCCCAAAACCATATATATTTTTGAAAATACAACAAATACAACTATTCCTAAAAGAGAGACCAGAAGATACAGTACAACGGCCAGGCTACATCTACACCTGCGAGAACCCAGAGCCTCACAAAGGAGGTAAGATACAAGCCACGGCCCGTCAGGACCCAAGCGCTCCCCCCACCCTAGCTCCCTGGCGGGAGGAGAGGAGTTGGAGCTGGGAGGGAGAGGGAGCCCAGGACTACTAAATACCCAGCCCTAGTCTGCCTCACCAGGAGCGCAGACACACAGTGTGTGGTGTGCTGGATACTAGGGAAACGGAACAGTAAAATATGTGAGCGAGTCCCCGCAGCTGACGCTTTTGGGACGAAAGAAAAGCAAGTGCTTTTTGAAAGTCTTAAAGGGACAGGGGCCTCACAGCTGGATGAAAGCGTCCCAGCACACACAGCCTAGCAGCTGGGAATCCCAGGAAACTCCGGGTGCCCTAACCCTCTGGGAGGCAGTGCAGCTCTGAGGACCCATGGCGATAAACAGCCTCCCGTCCATTCCCCCTCTGGCGCGGCCCCGCCATAGCAGGGGAGCAGCCTAAGAGCGACTGCGTCCACAGCAACTACACAGAGCCTCCTCTGCAGGGGCCAGGGCCAGACTCAGAGGCCCCGTCGGTGCGCAGCTGCCAAGCACAAGCCACTAGGGGTCGCGGTTCTCACAGGAAGGGAAAGCGACAGACAAGCAGGAAGGGACTTTCTTCTCCCAGCTGACACACACACCAACTGCGTACGACTACCTCTATTATCATAAAAAAGCAGAAGAATTTGATACAGACAAGGATAACCCAGACATCCCCTGAGAGGGAACCTGAGGAGATAGATTTAACCAATCTTCCTGAAAAAGAATTCAAAATAAAGGTCATAACCATGCTGATGGAGCTGCAGAGAAAAATGCAAGAGCTAACAGATAAAGCTGGGAGGGGGAATACAGAAATAAAACAATCTTTGGAAGGACTTAAAAGCAGAATGGACGAGATGCAAGAAGCCGTTATGGAAAAGAAATCAGAGAAATCAGAGAACAGGAATACAGAGAAGCTGAGGCAGAGAGAGATAAAAGGATCTCCAGAATGAAAGAATATTAAGAGAACTGTATGACCAATACAAACAGAACAATATTTGCATTATAGGGATACCAGAAGAAGAAGAGAGAGAAAAAAGGATAGAAAGTGTATTTGAAGAAATAATTGCTGAAAAAGTCCCCAAACTGGGGGAGGAAACAGTTGCTCAGACCACAGAGGCACACAGAACTCCCAATACAAGGGACCCAAGGAGGACAACACCAAGACACATAATAATTAAAAAGATCAAGGACAAGGACAGAGTATTAAACGCAGCCAGAGAGAGAAAAAAAGGTCACCTCCAAAGGAAAACCCATCAGGCTATCATCAGACTTTTCAACAGAAACCTTACAGGCCAGAAGAGAATGGCATGATATATTTAATGCAATCAAACAGAAGGACCTTGAACCAAGGATACTGTATCCAGCATGATTATCATTTAAATATGAAGGAGGAATTAAACAATTTCCAGACAAGCAAAAGTTGAGGGAATTGGCCTCTCACAAACCACCTCTACAGGGTATTCTAGTGGAACTGCTCTAGATGGAAACACTCCTAAGGCTAAATAGATGTCACCAGAGAAAATTAAATCACAGCACAGAAAGCAGACCGACCAAATACTAACTAGAGGCAAAAAATAAAATGAACTACCAACAAAAGCAGTCATAGGAAACACAAAAGAGCACAAAACAAAACACCCAGCATATAAAGAATGGAGGAGGAATATGAAGTGAGAGAAACAAAGAATCATCAGACAGTGTTTATAATAGCTCAAAAAGTGAGTTCAGTTAGATAGTAAGATAGTGAAGAAGCTAACCTTGGACCTCTGGTAACCATGAATCTAAAGCCTGCAATGACAATAAGTACAGATCTTTCAATAATCACCCTAAATGGACTGAATGCACCAATCAAATAACATAGAGTAATAGAATGGACAAAAAAGCAAGACCCATCTATAAGCTGCCTATAAGAGACTCACTTCAAACCCAAAAACATGCACAGACTAAAAGTCAAGGGATGGAAAAAGATATTTCATGCAAACAACAGGGAGAAAAAAGCAGGTGTTGCAGTACTACTATCAGACAAAATAGACTTCAAAACAAAGAAAGTAACAAGAGATAAAGAAGGACATTACATAATGATAAAGGGGTCAGTCCAACAAGAGGATATAACCATTATGAATATATATGCACCCAATACAGGAGCACCAAAATATGTGAAACAAATACTAACAGAATTAAAGGAGGAAACAGAATGCAATGCATTCGTTTTAGGAGACTTCAACACACCACTCACTCCAAAGGACAGATCCACCAGACAGAAAATAAGTTAAGGACACAGAGGCACTGAACAACACACTACAATAGATGGACCTAATAGACATCCATAG